ATTGATCATTATCGAGAGTTTTCTCAAGTGACTCCCGTCATTTGGGATGTAATTAACTATAGGGGCTTGCCTCTATAGGGAACTTGGAACCCAGGTAAAATAAATCCTATTTAATCTTTGTATTAAATAGGGGAATTTGTCGGTCATATATAAAAGGTTCGTAGACCAAACGGATGTCACAAATCTCTTAGTTTGCAGGATTGGGTCTATCGCTGAGGTCTACACTTATCTCTCGAGAGGGTGTAGTATTCGCGGTATCAGACACGATTATGCAAACTATCAGACTAATGAGATCCATTTGGTCTCATTTTTTCAAAAATTAAAACATACTACTTTTAAAACTCAAACTATATATCTTTTATACTTAAATTAAATCTCAAAAATTATTTTCATATACCATATTTTCATAATTAATCAATCGAAAAAAAAAGTTGACCGACACTTGCTACTTCTATTTTTTCTTATTTATTGTGCCTAAAATGAAAAATGTATGATCTAACTATTCTAAGTTCCTTACGACTTTACTTTTATTTGTTTTTTTTTTTTTGCATTTAAGTTTCTTCAAAATTATTGTTTTTGAAAGGATAATCATGCTATACTAGAAGATCTTATTTTTTGTCATGGTAAGGTATTCTTCATAAATGATAAAATGTTTCTGAAACAAAAACGAATTTGCAGATTATTTGAACTGTTTGATCGAGATTTAAACTACAAGCTTGTTGCAAAAGATCTTCCTCCCCTTCAGTCTATTGGTCCTCAGAAGTGTCTTGTTTTTAGCACAGACGGTTCCAAATTTGTCACTGGTGGACAGGTATATGACCAATTGAGTGGTTTATGGCTAATATTTTTTTATTGCATGTGCAAATTGTAGTTTATGAGTTCATTTCTGGATGTAGATTTTTATGGACAATTCAACAAACTGTGGTCCTTCGAGTTATTCATCTTCTCTTTAATGCCTGAAAGCGTTGAAAAAATCTTCTTATCCCAGCTTTACTCTTCACTGTGACAAAACGAAGCAGTTTATGTAGCTGTGTGATGCTTTGTCATATTATTGGTTTTTGCCATCTATTTTCATGTGAACTGCATAAGATCATTTTTAACTATGTACACATAAATTTACAATTTTAGAATGTAACACTGATATCTCTTCCTGTTCCTAGGATGGGCATCTTAGAATTATGGAGTGGCCAAGTTTGAAAGTTCTTTTGGATGAACCGAGAGCACATAAATCCTTTCGAGATATGGATATCAGGTAAAGGGACACACTACTTTTTGTTATCTTACACGCACATTGGTTCTTTTGCCATTATTAATATTCCAACACATTTTTGGGTTGTGTATCAGTATAGCTTATATAAGGCTAAAACTTTTTGATGTAGATGTGTGGCTTTGGCCTTGCAATTGATGGACACTTTTGACTTCTGGACTGGAATTCAAATGGTTTTAATAAGATGGTTTCTTCAACTGATTATTGGCGCCTAGTATTTTTAGCAATCATTTGTATATTTTGTTTGCTTCGCTAGAAGTAACAAATCTTAGGTGGTTTTTGTTCTCACTTCCATCAAAATGTCACAACCTGGCCCGGGGCTGGGAATTAACCAAGGCCGGTAAAGACGGTCAAATTGTTAAAATTAAATTTTCTATAACTAATAATTTATAATCCAACTGAAATGGAAGAGCCACTATAGAAAGTAAATTAAATTTATTTTTTTCTTTTTGTTTGCGTCTTATATAAATATTTTATCTCATATTGGTCATATTTTAATCAAATAATCAAGCGATTGTTATTTCTTGGTATGTATTTTCTCGGTATAGCTTAAAAGTTAGTCTTTCCTGCAACACGCAAATCCCTAAATTTTATAACTAGGGGGCTAGTGGGTGAGGTAATCACAAAAAATCATTTAAACTCAGCTTTTTTACTTTTTACTGTCTAGTAAAATTTTAGAGTTTATCACACTGGGTTTTTTTTTTTCTCTAGTTATCTCATGTTGTATTGTTTCTATTAGTAAAATTTCGGTGTTAGCCCTAAATAAATTTAGATCTAACACTTAGTATCCAATCATCTTATCAATAGCGATAAGATGTGATGTGATGTGATGTTTTACATGTGGTTGTAGTAGATATTGTTCGGGTTAGACTATTGTAGATGTATGGCTTAGATATAAGTCACTTTGGTAAGTTAATACTTATGCATTTAAGATCACTGGGAATAGGATAGTTTTGAAATATGGTATATTAAGAGCCATTCTATGGCTAAAGAAATTAATGTTTCTAATAAATTTAAAAATATTTACATATTTCGAATCAACATTCATTAAAAAGGGGAGTTTGGCTAAGGGAGTAACTTATGCCCATAGCAGCTATTAAATTAAATAATGATTTGATTGAGATAATGTTTGTACGCGAGGATGTTTATTGATTATAATTTTAATTTAAAGAAGTAACTTGGTGAATTTCTTGATTGTTCGACTTCATTTAGGGATATGAAGCATTCCATTTGATTTAAATATTCGATCGCCATCCCCTAATTTTCTACATTATAAGTTTAATCATATTGACAATGGTGGAATCAAGGTGTGGTTGGGCATGACCTTTATCGCCTAGATCTGAGAAAATCATATGTAGTTATATATAATTTAAAATTTTTGCTATTATATTTTTTTGTAAGCATGTATATTATAGAAGCTTTGCCCCTCCCTAAGTTTTTCGTAAATCATTTCTCTCCCCTACTTGAAATCCTTTTGAACATTTTGAGCGTAAGAGACAAAAAGATGTCTTATTTAAGAAAGAATTTGTTGATGAGAATGAGTGATGCAAAACATTAAGAAAAAAAAATAATTATGGCTTGAGCATCAGAGCAATATCAAGTGAGCTATAATGGCCTCATCACAAGATGGATAAAAAAAAAACAAGAGAGATTATATGAAAAATTGAAGTTTATAATTGAAAATTTTTGAAATTGTTTACTTAAAGAAAATTTAAAAATTCAAATATTCTTTTTAATAATTTGATTTTTTTTGTTTAATCATTTCCCTTATGTTTTTCTTTATTATTTTTCCTTTCAGGTAAGGGGGATGGCCATTTTTTGATTGGAGTGACCCCACTTCCCTTCCTTTCCTGTTTTAATTTTTCCTTATTATTTTTATTTTTATTTCTTAAGACATGATCTATGCTTAAAATATTTATTTTTAATTTATGAAATTCAACTTTTTTCTGTTTGAAAAAAAATTTGTTGAGATTGAAATCTCTAGGCTTTTGTATTCAATGATTGGCTGGACCCCTTTAGTTTTGTGCTTATTGGTCGATCTTTTATTTTATAATGATCTCTCTTCTAACCTCTCATAATCTTTCCTCAACAACCCTAAAGTTTTTCTATAAGTTTCTTCCACTCTTTTAGCGAAGAAAAAAAAAATTTTGGGCCTCTACAAGTGGCAGCAAAAACTAGGCATCTTTGACTTAGTTTGGCGCTCCCACTTTCACCAACCTCCAAACCCCTTGGATCCTAAGCAAAAACTCGATATCAAAATATTTACCCAAACCCCTCCAAGTCTGTCTAGCGCACACCCAAAGTCACCATTAGATCCATCCCCCATTCATGCATTTTAAGGCTAATCAAAATAAACCAAACCATTCATTTTGATCTTGTCTTGGTGTAGTCTCCACCAAACATTCTTAAACTTATTGGATCCTCTCCAAAAACTCCAAAGCATAATTTCTAACTTTCCTACAACTTCAAAGAGAATCCATGCCATAAATCTCCCTTCATTCCAAAACCCCAAAGGAAAAATCTTAATGGGTAGTCTTAGGGCTAGTTTGACCTCAGCTTTTGGCTGATCGTTTTGCTTTGGTCTAAACTGCACATAAAATTTTCCCGCTCGCCTAGATTTATTTACACATTCTCGACCCCACAAAAGTAATTGAAAGCCTTGGATTTAGACCTCCAAGATAAGATCAGTGAGTCCTTATGCGGTTCTTGTATATTGATTAAACTAATAAAGGATGATCATTGGAAAATGTGTGTAAATAGCTGATGTGATTAATAATATCACTATCAAATATCAATTTCCTTATCTACATTGATTATATGTTGGGTATTATGATTGGACATATTATTCTTATAAATTGATCAAAAAGTTGTTTTCAGCGAATGAGAACGAGAGGGTGATGAATGAAAAACTACCTTTAAAATTCAAGATGATTTCCATTAATATTAATGATATTTTTTGACTAAATAATGCACCAGTATTTTATGAGAATTATTAACCATGTTCTCAGATTTTTTATTGAAAATTGTTATGTTATATTTTGATGATATTCCACTTTAGACCTATACTAAAGAGAGTTGTTTATTGTATCTTATGAAAGACTTTAAAAAACTAAAGGCTAAGAAATTATATTTGAATATGGAGTGCTAATTTGCTACATCATCAATAATTTCATTTGGATTATTATATTTGCTAATGGATTATTTGTTTATCTTAAAGTTTAAGAAATTAAAATTAGAGAACTTTTACTCAATTTCATGATAATAAAAGTTTTCATTTTTAGGCTACTATAAATAATTCATCAACTAGTTTAGTATCTCCAAGAGGGACATCTAATTGCCTATTTTGGGAAAAAGTCGAGTAATACACAACATAAATATTCAAATTATGATAGAAAATTTTATTTCATTGAATCACTTTGATATTGGAGATATTAATTGTTCCCTTAGTGATTTGTCGAATATTCTGACAGCAAGCTTTAAGATATATAACTCTTGTGTGTGTGAAATTAGACATTTATAATAAAATGGTTATGTTGAAATTAAAAATAAGCCTCTTGATATTTTAAGGTTGCGTTTATTTTGACATACAAATTAAGGTTACTAGCTTTTCCCACATTAAGAGAAATTACCCTGATAGTAACGATTTGGGTGAGATTTATTGTGGCTTAGCTTGTGACTCAACTGTGTTTAGTAAACATTTTATGATAATGAATGAGTTTTTATCAGAAAATAATTTATATTCATTATTAATTCATCTTTGAGAGATTTTCTGGTCTTAAAAGTTACATTTTGGTGATATTTAAGGCATTTTAATCACGACAAAATGTAGCTATAATTAAGAAAAGATATTGTTAAATTTAGAGAATAGTGCTGCATACTTTTATTGATAGGAAGAGACGTATAAATACATATTACAAAATCCAAATAAAGGAAAGACATAAATTCAGAAATAGACCAAATAAGAAATATATAATTATGGAAATGAAAATAAAGAATGCAAATAAAATCACATAAAAGCTAATAATAACTGTCGCAGTAATTAGCTTAATAATTAGGCTAATAATTCTAATACTTCCCCTCAAGTTAAAGCATAAATGTCCATTATGTTCATTTTGGATTTGAAATCGTCAAACAATGGCCGAGGAAGATTCTTGGTAAGGATATCTTCTAATTGACCATTACATGGGACAAATGGAATACAAATATCCCCTTAATCGTGCTTCTCCTTAATGAGTGCCTGTCAATCTCCACATGCTTGGTCCGATCATGCTGGAACGGATTTTGTGCAGTACTAATGGTTGTTTTTTTATTATCACAGAACAACTGGAGAGGAGCAGAGATGTCTTCATATTCAACTTGAATTTAAAGTAATGTTAAACTATAGATCTCCCCTCAAGTTAAACATAAATGTCTATCATGTTCAGCTTGGATTTGAAGTTGTCAAACAATGGTCGAAGAAGATTCTTGGTAAGGATATCTACTAATTGATCATTAGATGAGACAAATGGAATACAAATCTATCATGAATCGAGCTTCTCCTTAATGAAATGTTTGTCAATCTCCACATGTTTGGTCCGATCATGCTGGACCGGATTATGTGCAATAATAATGGTTTTTTTATTATTATAGAATAACTGGAGAGGAGCAGAGACCGGCATACACAATTCACGGATTATGATGTGTAACCAAAGAGCTTCATAGATACCTAAGGGCATGCAATGAAACTCGGCTTAAGCACTACTCTGGGTCACAACCGATTGTTTTTTGTTTTTCCATGTTACAAGATTTCCCCACACGAATGAGGAATATCCTGAGGTGGATCACCGATCATGTACAAACCTGGCCCAATCAGCATCTGTATAAACAACAATAGAATAAGAGGTGTGACGCAAAAAAAATAAACCTGAGATCGGTGTGCCTTTTAAGTAGTGAAGGATCCTTTGGACAACTCAGAGATGGTGCTCATAATGAATTGATTCACAATA